GTGGGGGAGGCAGATGCCATTGAGTGAGCATGTGTGCTGTGTGGCCATCACATTCAAAATGACTGAGTAGAGAAATGAATCTGCATCAAATTTTATGTTAAGCTTAAACATTCCCCCACAGAAGCTATTTAGATGATTGAGAAGGCCGCAGCTATGGGCAACTGGTGATTGGCATCTTCACCACAACAATGTGCCCACTCATGCATCACATTTTGTACAGAGCTTTTTGGTAAAACGTCAAATTGCCCAGGTGACTCGGTACCCCAACAGCTCAGATTTGGTGCTCTGCAACTTCTGTAGCTTTTCCCAAAACTACAATCACCTTTGAAAGGGAAGAGATTTCAGGCTGTCGATGAGATTCAGCCAAATTCGACAGGGCAGTTGATGGAGACTGGGAGAACTGTGTAAAGTCCCAATGTGCCTACTTCAAAGGGGACTGAGGACTCATTGTCCTATGTACAGTGTTTCTTTTTTTAAAGTTTTATTAATTTATTTTTAGAGAGGGTAAGGGAGAGAAAAAGAGGGAAACATCAATATGTGGCTGCCTCTCATGCACCCCCTAGTGGGGGACCTTGCCTGCAACCCAGGCGTGTGCACTGACTGGGAATCAAACCAACGACCTTTGGTTCACAGGCCAGCACTCAACCCACTGAGCCACACCAGCCAGGGCACGTCCTATGTACAGTGTTTCCTGTATCCTGTATCTTCTTCAATGTGTCTTTTTTATAATGTGTGGCTGGATACTTTCTGGACAGACCTTGCCTTTCAAGGGCACAATTTGATATTCAACAATATGTATATACCCATTATGAATCTATCACTCCAATCAGTATAATGAACATATCCTTCACCCTCAAATTTTCCTCCTGCCCCTCCCAGGAAGCCCTGATCTGCTTTCTGTCACTATAGTTTGTGTTTTCTACAATTCTATGTAAATGGACTCTTTTTATATTTTTGAGGGGGAGGGGGAGTCTGGTTTCTTTCACAGAGCATAGTTGAGTTTCATCCATATTAGTGAGTGTGTCAATATTTCACTCCTTTTTATTTGAGCAGTGCTCCACTGTTATGAGTATGAAACCATAGTTTGTTTAGCCATTCTCCCGTGGAGGGATATTTGGGGTGTTACAAATAAGGCTTGTTATGAACATCCACGTACAAATATTCGTATGAACTTATGTTTTCATTTCCTTTGGGTAAATACCTAGGAGTGGAATTGGTGAGTCATATTTTAGGGATATGTTTTAAGTTCTTTTAAAAAAAAAATCAAACTGTTTTCCAAAGTACTTGTATCATTTTACATTCCCACCAGCAGCGTAGGAGAGTTCTAGTTCTTCCACATACTTGCCAACACTTGGGATGGTGAGTCTTTTGAATTTTAGCCATTCTACTGGGCATCTATTATTATCTCACTATGGTTTTAACGGTATCTTCCTAACAACTAATGATGCTAAACATCTGTTCACATGTGCTCTCTGCCAACCATACACCTTCCTTGGTGAAGTATCTGTTCAAATCTTTGACTCATTTTTTATTGAGTTGTTTGCTTACGGAGTTTGAGAGTTCCTTATGTATTCTGAATACAAATCATTTATCAGATAGGTAATTGGCAATTATTTTTTCTCCTAATCTGTGCCTTGTCTATCCATTTTCTTAACAGTGCCTTTGAAGAGCAAGTTTTAAATTTTGATGAAGTCTAATGTATTTATTTTGTATCTTATGGATATTTTTGGTATTGTATCCAAAAAGTCTTTACCTCATTTAATTCACAAAGTTTTCTTCCATTAGTTTTGTCACTATACTTTCTCCCATTAGTTTTTTAGCTTTAGGTTTTACACATTTAGGCCTATAATCAAGTTAATTTCTGTATAAGAAGTGAGATTTGGTCAAGGTTCATTTTTTTGTGTATGGGTATCTGTTCCAAAACAATTTGTTGAAAAAAAATCCTTTCTTTATTGAACTGCCTGTATACCTTTGTCAAAAATCAATGGACAATTTACATCTGAGTCTAATTCTAGACTCTGTTCTGTTCTGATCGATGCCTCTGCCCTTTCAGCAACGCCACAGTGCCAGGATTCCTGTAGTGTGACAGGAAGCCTTAAAACCAGGCAGTGTGAGTCTTCCAACTTTTTTATTCTTTTCCAAATTGTTTTGACTACTCTATAGTTCTTTCTATATGAGTTTTAAAATCAACTTGATTTCTAAAAGAGAAAAATCCTACTGGGATTTATTCTTGAGGGGTCATTAAAATGACAGAAAGTTTAAAGATACGTTGTTGTCCCCTCGTAAGATCTTGACAGCTGGCTAGAGTGACTGCAGTGAAACACCAAGGACTTCAAAACCATAAGGTGGTTCCACTTTTCCTACATGTGAATAATACATATCTGTATCCCATAAGCAGCAGCATATTTAACAGAAGACTACAACTTACCAGCACACTAGCACCCAGTTTAAGGAGCACAAATTAACAGTGTGTTTTGTAAATAAGATAATTTTTCATAAAAATGTTGATTATTATCTTTCCTCTGTGCCTTGAATACCATCCAACAAATGCAGACTGGACTGCAAATTCCCTTGGGCACATCAAGTTCGCACCTCAAAAGAACTGACAGTGCGACGGCTGGGTGCTGAAGGACACTTTCCTGAACGCAAGAATACTTTTAAAATCAGTTATCACATCAGGGAAAGTCAGCTTTTCAGACACTTGAGCTTAATCATTGGGGTGAAAACATCTTATATTGAACATCTAACCCCTGTGACAGTTATCGGTGTCAACACTAAGCAATAGTCCCTGATCTAGTGCAGCAACCTCCGAGCTGGGACTGGCCTGAGGCTGACAGCTCCAGGCTCCTTTCAGAGCTGTCTAACTTGCTTTCACGGGACTCAGGGCACGGTCCCCATCTCCACCAGTCTGCTGCTGCTCTTTCTCCTGATCATAATCCCCTCCTCTGAGGAGAGACTGTGAGAGTCCAAGTGTTTCTTTTGCCAAAGCTATTTTTTAGCAGTAGCTGCAGGCAATTGAGTTGTATCCGGTTTCTGCACCTCACCCTGCATAAGCTCGATTCCCTGCCACAGGTAACAGGACTGACGATGGGGGCACGAATCAAAGCCCAGATGATCAGACGGACTGTGCATGGGGCCAACCACTCCAGATACACTCCGTGCTCGGCAGTCTCCCAAGTGGGTAGTCCCTATGGAGGCAGATGATGATCACCAAAGCCCCTCTGGGAACACCTGATGGCAAAAGGCAGAGAGTGGAGGGGAAGGGATAATATGCCCAGGGTCTGGGGACGTGCTGGGCTCCCAAAGCCTGCTAGGCCTGGAGGATGCTGGGATTCCGAGGGTCTCTGGGTGCTAAGACTCCGGTGCTAGTCACAAGCTTTAACAATCTCCAAAACCTAAGCCCTTCCTGTACGTTCTGAAAAGACATTTATAGCTTATCAACTGATTCTTACAATGCAGTACCTCCCAAATGAAAGGAAGATTTTATTTTTTAGTGGAAAAAGTATTTAAAGTATTTTGACGCAGCTACACTTTGAAAAACTAGTAAACTGCTCATGGTATACAAACTACCATATTTTGTCGTGCATAATGCACCATTTTTTGTGCAAATTTTTGAGGGAAAAATAAGGGTGCGTATTATACATGGGTAGTACCTGAAATATCTTGTATCTGTTCTTGTGCTTTGTAACTATTTGTTACATAAAATTACTTGTATCATAATATGTTTGAAAATAAATGCTAAAATTCCTTTGCAATACAAAATAATATAAAACAAGTACCTAAATATAAATAAATAAAAATTGAATAAAAAAATTAAGACTAAAGATTTTTTTCCCCCTGAAAGTCTGGGCCAAAAACATGGGTGCGTTACAGACAGTAACACATTATACACGGCAAAATATGGTAGATATTCACCAATAAACTGTACTTAGTATACATACTAGACACTAAGCAGAAAGCTTTATTCCTGAGCACATTCCCCAATAACGTGGGAAGCAGACTTTCCTTATGAATCAGTATTGAGGTACATGGTCAAAAGAGACCCTCACACAACATGGCTGGGCAAGTGAGGGAAATCCATTTCCCAGCCTCTTCCACAGATAAGTGGGACCAAGAAACTAAGCCATGGTCAATGACAAAGGAAGTGTCAAGTAGCTGCTTTCAGGAATGTTCTTTAAAAGAAAGATAAAACCTTTTCCCTTCTCTTCATCCTGTATCTTGCTATGTGGAGTGAAAATGTAAGGACAGGAGCCCTAGCTGCCATCCTGGGCCATGAGGCTGGGGCTCACCTCCTGGGGATGTCCAAGCAGTCAGCTGGAGGGAGCCTGGACCCCAAGAATTTTCGAGAGCATTAACTGCCATGCCAGCACCAGGCTGCTTCACTGTTGTTTCAGCCACTGTCATCGAGGGTCTCTAGCCTCAATATACATCATGTCTCACTTTTCATGATTCTCCACATTTGCCACCTTAGGTAATCAACTACCAGCAGCTGAGCATGTCAGCCGAGAGAATGTTCACCATACAGACCAAGAAGCTTTTGTCATCGAGTGGGTACAGAAAAACAGCTTTTGTTTGCAAGCTTTACTATTTCCAGACCTTGTGCTGAGTGCTCTGAAGGGGCTGTCTCCTTTAATTCTCCCCCCAAACCCCTCCTCCTTTACTGACTGGAGGTGCTGGGGCACAGAAGTTCAGCATTGTGCTCAGTCACATGGCCAACAGGGACAGAATTGGACTGCTAAGTCCAGGCTCTTCTAGAGCCGGGCCCCTCCCCCTGACGGAGGCCACGGAGGTCAGGGAGTGAGCACCCTGCAGGCCGGAAGCCCCATCCTGGAGAGGGCCCACCCACGGACTGAGTCCCAGCTTTCTCTCTCCCACAGCACCGACAGTGCTTTGCAAAAAGGCCCATCTTTTATTTAGATAAATAAAAGTACCAATTCATGGTATATGTTTCTTTCCTATCCCTTAGAGGAGAAAAGGGGAAAAAAAACTTAGCATCTTACCTCAAAGGAACATTCAACATTTCTTTCATTTTTTTTGTGTGATAATCCCTTCAGGTCTATCTTTTCAACACTCACTGTAAAAGTAAAAAAAAAAAACAAACACAAAAACAACAAACAACAAACAAAATTATAAAAATGAAATAAAACCTTGAGGTACATATTATTTTATTTAGCATTTGATATTTTAGCAATTTTCAAAATAAGGCTTTCAATGCCCAGTGCTGCTCAGTCTCTTCTGTGCTGTGTTCACCTGGAATGAGAAACTCAAGAGGAAGGCAAAGAGCTGTCACGCTGAGGAATGGAAGGTGAATTTAAAAGTAAAGCAAGAAAAACAGGCAAAAAATAAATACAAATTATAGAAAAAGAAGATAACAGTGCTTGGAAAGAGACCAAAAGTTTATCTGTATGCACAAGAGTATGAACACCAATTATAATGAAGATTAGTTATGATCTGTTCCAATTTCTGAAAAACTAACGCTCAGTGTTTCTGCTGTTCCTGTTTCTGACAGAGCTGCCCAGGGCCTCTCACTGAGTCTTCTCGTCAACAGAGCGCGGTCTCACCCTTCCCTGACGGGGCAAGGCTGGAGGTGAACAGGGCAGCACACAGAAAAGAAACTGAAAATTCCTAATGCTGCCTCTAAAGGACATGCCAAGGGCTGTCCGAGACTGACTGCACAGACGGATGGTGACAAAAGAGAACCGCCATTAAGAGAGTTCTAAAGTCATCAGTGTCTTCACACTGCCCTTTTCACATACATGAGGGCATTCCTTTCTGCTCAAAAATAAAATGATACATTAGACACACCTTCCTCCATTATTTTTTCCTATTTTCAGAGGACATATGGCAGCGATCTACAAGGATTTCTACAGGTCTTTCAATCTAACTGTCCAATATGAAATACTCAACATAACTTATCAAAACTATTGTTACAATTCCTGCAGGTGCCCAACCTCCTGGCCTGCCACACTAAGGGTTCCCAAAGTATTCTCTGAGGAACACCAGTTGTACAGTAAGATGTTCAGGGACACCCCTGAAAACCTTCACAGTCACAAAGTTTGAAGGAAAAATCTCAAAAACTCCTTGTAGACTGTCTAGTACATCAGCAAATTAAAGGCTCTGAGAACCCATGCAACAAATAAATCTTTTTGTTAACACTTCCCCAGTTATTTTTGGCCACAGACCTCTTTCTTCCCTACTGTGTATGAACATCCCAGGGAAAACGAACTGCTCTGTGTAACATGCTTTGGGGGAGGTTCTAACCCTGCACTACCCAGTACTGTAGCCGCTAATCACATGTGACCATTCAAATTTGTATTAATTTCAACTGAATAAAATTCAAATCTAATTCTTCAGTTGCGCTAATCACATTCTAAGTGGTCAAAAGCTATGTGCGGCTAGTGGCCATCACGCTGTACAGCACAGACACAGGACATTCAGTCATCAGAGATATCTACCAGGCAGTGCTGTTCTAAGCCAGGAGCCAGCAAACTACAGGCTGCCCTCCCCACCTGTAAGGATAAATGGTTTTATTGGCATGCAGCCATGCCATTTGCTACATATCTTCAATGACTGCTTTCTACCCCCAAAAATATTTACTATCTGGATCTCTGCAGAAAAAAATTTGCCAAGCTCTGCTCTAAACCAACAAGTGTTCATTCACCAACATGTCTTATGAAGTTCCTGCTATGGACCAGGTCTCATTCTAGGGGCTGCGAATACAGCAGTGAACAAGACAGGCAGGTTCTTGAACTCACACAGGTTACCGTTGGAAGGGGAAAAGACCCTTTGCTTGCTCAATTATTCTCTCATAAACCTCCCTAATTTTGTAAAGTTGCATCAGGGTAGATATGCTCCTTGGGAGATACTAGAACCTATTTGGTTTAGAGTATTTTAAGTTTAAAATAGCACCTTACAGGAAGGAATTACTCTAAAAAAAAATAAGAATGTTTGTTTCCTTTCTGGCAAAACAAAACACTACATTCAGAGCTTGTACACCTCCTTATTTTCACTCAGACTACTCACTGTTCCTGTTTGACTTCCTCAGTCATATTGTCGCAAATAAACAGATTTTATGTTTTCCCAACCAGTATTAAAAAAAACAAAAAACAAAAAAAAACTCACCCACAATGACATCACTCTAATCCAGATCTTTAACTTTTTAAAACAATAGGGTAAAGTCAATGAAAACTGAAAAATGTAGTCAGCATTTTTCCCAGCCACAGAACACCAATGTGTACCTAAATGTCCCAGAACTTAATATTAGGATTTATGGGAAAAAAAAAAAAACCCTCATCTGGACTGAAAGCAGGAAGTGACTCATATCTGGACAGGAAAATGTGAAAAGCAGATGAACATTATTCAGCTGTTTTCAAATAAAAGAAGCATTTGAACTCTAGGACTAAAATCTTTGTGAGAGCTCTTCAAAATCATCAGACCAACCGACACTGGGCTTTGTATCAGCTCTGTAAGTACAAGGAGCTGCTGCTGCAGTGGCTTTAGCCACCTGGACAGCTCTGGACCAAATAAATGGTTTAAAAGTAATGTTACTCAGTGAAATCCTCTCCATGTTGCCCTCCCCAAAAACAGCAGCTGCTATTAGGCAGGGCTCTGCAAATGGGAGAAGGGGAGCCTGCTGGAATGGGAAGGCAGGAGGGCACCTGCTAAATGATTTTCTGTAGCAGATTATCAGCAGTGATGATGGCTCTTGTGGAAGGCGGGGTTATAAGATATCTAATTAGGTTTCAAAGATGTTTAAGTACGTTCTCAATTTTAGAGCTATATTAAAGACACAATTATAAAATAATTTGGAGCACAATTATAAAAACAAAATAATGAAAAAACGTTTATCACATCAACTGAAAGATTATAAATTGTATGTGATGCATAATGACAGTTGTTGAAAATGTTAAAAAAAAAAAAGACTAAAAAAACAAAATCATCAAAAATAACAGCAATGAGCCCTGATGGGTGTGGCTCAGTTGGTAGAGTATCCTTCAAAGCCAAAGGTCGCTGGTTGGATTCCTGGTCAGGGCTGTGCTTGGGTTTCGGTTGTGGGCCGGTTCCAGGTTGGGGCGTGTGCAAGACACAACCATTCGATGTTTCTTTCTCTCCCTGCCTTCCCCTCTCTCTAAAAATAAATAAATAAATAATCTGTTTAAAAAATAACAGCAATGATAGGAATAACTGTGATTGGTGGTGAAACTCTAGGTAGCTTTTACCCTAAATTTCTAGAATGCGGTTTAGTAATTTTAAAGTGTGTATCTATATCCATACAAATATCTACTTATAATCCATTAAAAGTCTACTGGTAGATAAAGTGACCCCCCCTTTCCTTCTCACCTCCCTGGTCAGTTCTGCAGACTGTGTCATGCAACTGCCACACAGAAGTCCCACTGCTTTCTGGAGTACAAGCAAACGTGTGTAAATTTTAAGGGATAGATAATCAATCCATCACCCAAAGGAATGGAACAGAGTGAAAGGTGGCCGTGAAGACAGGATTTGCATCAACTGAAAAGACTCAAAGGGCAGGCTGCTCTTTGGCTGGAGACAAGCCAGTCACAGCCAGGAACTGTACCCTACAAGGAGGACTGGGAAGGACAGGAGCGTCCACCTGGGGAGAAGCTTGGGGAAGGAGGAGAAATGGGGCTGGGGTCCAGACTGTGCACGAGCACGTCTACAAAGGACAGATGGAGGGGGGACAAAGGGGGCATGAAGCTAGACCATGCTGAGATTAGAAAGAAAAGGATGATGTGCTTTTTCCTTTTTAAAATTTTGTTTGTTCAAACTTTTCTTCTTCATTCAAGATACACACCAGAAATTCTCAAATCTTACAAGTTAGATCACATAGGTTTTAATAAAATGTATAACTGCATTAAACTCTTGTTATAACTGAATCAATAACTAATTGTAAAAACCAATATACTAATGTAACTGAAATAAGAGGGAGGAAATTTGTGCAAAGAGAAGCACAAATATGTCCTAATAAAAGCCCAGGCAAGCAACTGAAAGGCCTGAAGCAGGACCAGGCAGCTACGTGGGGATGGGGGCTGGCAAAGAGTCACAAATGACTTAGGACGATGACTGACCAAGAGACCACACTGCCAGCAGGTGCCTTAATTTCAGCCCAGGGAGCTCCTGGATAAAACTGCCACAGCCAATAGGCCACTTTAGCTACTAAGCATCTTCAAATGATTTACAATAGCCAACTGTCACATCAGTACTTAAGACACCTATTGATAATGGCTTTTCTATGTTCCAAGAATGAACCACTCTTTTGAAACATTTTCCATTTCTAAAGTTTTCAGGAAAAAACGGTGGTTGGTAGTTTTCTGTGAAATGTTTTTTACTTCACTTTGATGTATCTTTATTAAATAGTTTAATTCTATATGCTCAATAACAAGAAATCACTTCAAAGATGACCAAAACTACACTAAAATATATCATAGTAAAGAAAGTATTATTGATGATTAAGGAAAAATATTAAAAAAATAATTTTCTAATACAAACACCTCCTCCTCTTAAGTTCTATACACTAGAACTCAAGTCTTCATACTTGAAATAAAGAAACTCAATAAAAATATTGAAGATGCCTCCTTCTTTAAAATTTTATTAGTGAAATCTAGTTTTCATTTAAAAACTGAAAAACTATATTCTTAAAAGTCGCAGTTGAATAATAATGTTTTTAAAATACCAATTTACTTTCTCACTTTCATTTACTTGCCTATGTTAATGGCAGGAATTTTTAGAAGCACTGCTTCTTTCAGCTGTTGTTAAAATGTGGACATTCACTACTACCCTGATTAAGCTGATCCTTCTTTTCTACATCTTTTTAGGATATGTATCATGTTATATTTAAGAACTCTATTATATATTTTTGTTTTTTTTAAATCATCTAGCTACCTTGCCTTATTTGATTTGTTAGTTCTCCAGAAATAGAGATAGAAACAAAAGTAGTGCTAACTGAGAAAACACAAAGCTGATACAAGATATTCCTAAAGTAGCAAACACAGGAAATGAACAGGCATTTTCCATTTGAGTGGTTAGCGATAAGAGACTTGATTTTTGGAGCCTCGGGAATTTCACTGATTTATGTATCATATCAAGAACAAATATTTTCTTCATTATCCATATGTATTCAGTACGGTACCAGCTATGGGGTAGAAAAATTGCAGAGTTCAAAGTGGTAATGCCTGAGCTAGACCTCAGAGGGAAGGGCCCACCTGAGAAGAGTGACATGGTGACCCAGGTCCAGGTATAACAGCACATGGTATTTGAGCAAGTTTAGTCACAGCAGGAGCCATGACATGAAGAGAAGGGAGACAGGAGAGCAGAGAGGGGAGGACAGTCACAAGGAGGCAAAGGCACAAACAGGACCAGCCCACCAACCCCACAGCAGGCACATAAAGAAACTTAAACTCACAGGCTCTGCGGTCTGGCAGGCTCAGTCTGAAACATGACACTTCCCAGCACAGTGACCTTGGGCAGTTATTTAATCCGTGAACAAAAGGAATAATGGTTTTCACTTCATGGGACTGTGGTATCAACGAGGTGAACACACGGAAACTGCAGGATGGCACTTCCTGGGGGTTAGTGCTGTATGCCATCGGCTGCTGCCCTCAGTGCTCCTAACAGGCTTCCTGAGCAGAGGACCGTGATCCAAAATGCTGGACAGGTCCCTGCTCAGGAAACGGGCTGGAGAGGTGAACCCACAGGCGGCAGAGCAGACCGAGGCCGGAACCAGGATGGGGGCCCAGCGACAGTGAGAAGCAGCTGCGACGGCCTTACGGGCCACCCTTGCTGGGACTGTGAGGGCCGCGGCACCTCAAGTAGGGAGAGAACTGTCATGGACTTCCAGGTTTTGCCCCAAGTGCCTGAATGCTGGTATCAATCACAAATACTGGAAACCCATTTTAGGGGGTAGCAATGAAAGTAATGGTTGCATTCTAGGCATAGTGACCGAGGTACCCGTGACCCATCTACGTGGAAACAGTCAATAACTGGCAGGCTCACGGCGATCTGGGTCCAGGAGAAGGGCCTCAGCTGGACTCAGACCTGAATTCATCAACAACAGGCTCAGAGAAGACTGCTCCGTGTGAACTGGGGGACCGGGAGAGAGCCTGGAGAGCACTGATGTTTAAGGGGCAGAAGCAGCAGCAGCTGCAACGGAACAAAAGTGAACAGAAAGGCAGGAGGAAAAGCAGGCCAGCGTGTTGTCAGGAGACCTATAGAGCTTGCCACACCAATGCTTATATATGTCTGAGGTCCCACAATTTAAAAATGAAAGAAGCCAAGGGAGGGCAAAGTCTGGAGCGGGGTGATCACAAATGCCAGGTGAAGGTAAGAGCCAACTTGTCACCCACAGTGTCATCTGTGACCTTCCATGAGGGCAGCTTCGAAGAGGAGGATGCTGACATCAGGGGTCACAGAGAACCTGCTCTTCTTCCAGGAACTAGGCTATGGGTTGTGGGCGTACAGCACATGTGACCATACATGGTAACTATGGCAGGTCAAAAGAACTACTCCAATAGTTAACAACTTACTTGAAAATGCATCAAAAAATGCATTGATGGATGGAGAGACGGGCAGATAAAGGAGAGGCAAATAAAGTAAAATGAAACTGTGAAATCTAGGTGACAGCTATTCATTGTAAAATTCTTTGAACTTGACTCTGTGTTTGAACATCTTCATAAGAAAATGTTGAATAAAGAGCCAATAGAGAAATTAAAATTATCAAGGCTTCTCAATTACAAATGCACATTAGAATCCCCAACACAAGAAAAATAATATACTACTGGTATTTTAGAATTTAAGCTTTATTGCGATTCTTATCTTATTAGAATTCATGTTCTAGTTCTCTGGGTTGGGTTTTGTTTAACCAAAAGAACATGACTTTTCACCATGACAATGCTGCATGATAAACAAAAAAATCTCACTGGCACACAACAAAAAGCATTTCTTTAGGTTAAAAAAAATACCAGTTTTAATCTACAATATGCTAAATATCTATAGACACAACCTACATAAACAAGAGCTTTTTGGAATCAACTTTGAAGAATTCAAAGAGGTCCTGAGATCAAAAGCTTTCAGAACTTCCGGTAAATGATCTGCAGTTTAAGTTTAATGAAACTCTCTTCTACTGTTATCGCAAAAGGATAATTTTAAAAAATAACTACTTTAAGTCTAGAGAACAAAGTTACAAAAATTCTTTCACTTATAGAGTATGATTAAGAGTAATTCCCACCTCACCTTGTACATTATAACCATTTCCCTAAGTTTTAATAATAATAAACACAAGCGGCTCGGTTGGGAAGGCCTGGAGCGCTCCCAGAGCGTGTACAGCGGCCCTATACCACATTCCTGAGTAACTCAAGGCCCCAAAGGGACACACAGGTGATCACCTGTTGCTGAAGCCAGCTGTGGGCAGACTACTGTACTCTTCTCTATGCCAGTACTTGAAAACCTTCCCAATATATAGTATGGAAAAAAGGGTAACACCATCACTTTTTAATGTCTTTTTAAGCACCGCACCATGATTTTTGTTTGCTGTTCTCTTCAGTCTAACATAAGTGGTGAGAGCATTAGCTCTGGGTTGGAATCCCAGCTTACCTTGGGAATGTTACTTATCTGGGACCCAGTGCTTCCATCTGTAAAATGGAGTAATAATCTCTTAACGGAACCGTTGTTAGAATTAAATAGGTGCGAGCGAGCCCCTACAGCACGCTTTGGAAGATTATGTGCATTCATCTAGGTAATAAGCTTGGAACATGACCTGACCAGAGCAGTCAGGGTCCTCACTGCTATTCCCTGAGCTTGTAATCAAAAGACATGGAAACATGTGAACTCTTTGTAAGTTAAACTGTATCAGGGAAGACTTCCAAATAAGCAGAGAAGAACAAAATCACAGATGGGTTACAGAAAACACAATGAGAAAACTTTAAAATAATACTTGAAGTGACTTCAGACTGCCAGAAAAGCAATAACGTACACCCAACAGTATGGTAGGAGAGGTGTGACTAATAAAACCAAGTTAACTTGCTTGCCAATTTCTGGACGAAGAAACTATTATTACCCATGGCCACTGAATGGAGGAAACTGTAGATAACTAATGATGTTTTGGCACAGCTGATGCTAAAGCTGGCTCACCATCTCGCTGGGTACCAACACACACAGATGTGAGTGACAGGGGTAATAGACACATATTCTGCAAACATATTTAAAAAAAGAGTGAGGGGTTCTTGATAATTATGTCTTGAGGAAAAAATACTGTGGTGAAGAAGAGGCCAGCCCTTCGGGTCCGGCGGGTGCAGGGCACAGGTTCTATGCTGGACGGTCTGGAGACAAAGGGAGCAACATCCCATCCGAGGCCCTGCTCCCTGGATGACACGCCGAAGGGAAAAACACAAGGGCAGTTTTAGGGGGAGAAAGTGCTTGTGATTGAGTGACAACTACCCATCCTAGGAGCGCAGGCTCTGCTGCATCCTGAAAATGATGGTTCTTGGAACAGAGCACATAAAGCAAGCTGACTGCGCTCCCCGGGCTACGTTTTAACTCAAGGATTTACATTTTAATACCATAACATGATTATGTATATATAAACACAGGTGCAGGCAACAGAAGACAGACATATCCAGCACACGACCCAAGTCAGGGACAGTGGCTCACTACTTCTCAAAATGGGGCTTTATTTTAAAAACAAAGTGTTTACTAAGCATCTTTGAGGTACAAAGCACTGTGCCTGAGAAAGGAGGGAGGCAGAGAACAGAAAACACAAAATAAGCAGGCGACAAAACAAGCAGGCGTGGCTCCCACCTTAGCAGAGCTCAGTTCTGGAAGGGACACAAACGAAAGGCGGAAGGAACGAGGCAGCCAAGGGAGGGAGGAAATGCCTTGGGGCTCCATCGTGACCATCCCAGGGGCATCTTGGCCCTTCCGACAACTCTGCAGACTTCAGGTTCACTGTCAAGCCATCTAGTGCTACACGTCACCTTCATTCTCCTGTAAAGTCTCCCGTACCTCCATGCAGCTCACCAACTTGGTGGCAAACTGACTCTGTGACTGTCCAGCTGGCTGCAAAAGTCAGGCGTACAAGAACCAAGGAACTCACAGCCTCCTCTGAAACGTGCCCTCCATCAAGTCCAGAGCTGCACTGCCCAATACGGCAGCCAAGGTCCACACTGAGCTACTGCAATTGCAATTGCAATGGGAAAAAAAAAATTCAGGTCCTTAGTTGCATACGCCGCATTTCAATATGCTCCAAAGAGACGTGTGGCTGGTGGCAACTGAGTTAGTGCAGATACATACCATTCTATTATCGTAGAAAGTTCTTCAGGAAAGAATTTAGGACTTACTTTGGTGTGGGATGAGGAAGGGTGTAACAACTTTCTTTTCTCCTCCTTAGTAAACATCAGTATTTGAAATTTTTACAGCCATGATACGTTCATGTATTACTTACAGAATTTAGAAAAATAATACACCTTCTTACAACAAACGTTTATGAAGATCTGAAAGCACTGTATCAAATATCATCAAAAGATCTCCCCTCCTACACTCTAATACGACCCCTTCACTTCACCCTGCAGGTAGACAGACTTACCTTTGGAGTGTTTTCCTACAGTCCTCTTGGGCAGCGACTCCTCAGTGGAATGTGCTGATGTACGCAGTGCATTCTCCAAACTATTACTGACACTGGTGACAGGGGTCTCAGTTCTTGGAGTGACCTACAGGGACAAAAAATGTAATCATCTTATTTTCTTCCATTTGGTTCATATGGAATGGTTCCCATGGTTATTTAAAAGTCATGTATGTTTATTACAGTTTCAGATTTTTCTATAATACATGTCTTACTACGGGAATAATAAGCACTTTCTGTGAAAGACAAAAGTTTCACCAATCTACCATTCACCACTAAAATTTAAAAATAGCCCAAAGAACTTTAAGCAAACACGGGAATTTATATCTTGTGTGTGTGGTTCACTTGACTGGGTAAAACTATGTCAGCCAGGCTGCCACAATCATAACCTATAAAATTAATTACACAGCAGGACTTAATGCTATCCTTCTACAAATTTTAAACAGATCATAAAATGCTCTAAAAGAGCATAAAATGCTCTAAAAACAACACCTGGATCTAGTTGAGAGGACATTTTACAAAAGCATATTCTGAAATTATATTATAGTTCCATTTCCAGGAATCCATCAAACTAAGTACTTACACATGAAAAGGATGTATGTGCAGCAGCGTTGGTAACAGTGAAAAGCCGAGAACATCTTAAACAGCCACCGACAGAGAGCCCACTACACGCAAGTACAGGGCATCCACAGATGAACTACGTACAGTCACAAAACCACCATGAAAGCTTGTCAACATATAGAAAGATTACACAAGCCATAGAGTGTCATCCCACGCCCTCTCCTCCTTTTCTTTGGTTTAAAGCGAACAGGTCTGTGTTTAAATGAACAGGGGGAGGCCTGGCAGGATACGGCAAACGCGAACTGCACTGACGTGGGGAGAGAGAACCGGGAGAGGCGAGGAGACTTTCTCGGGTCGGGCAAGGAGGATGCAGTAACTTCTATTTGTCCCCCTTAATAGCAAATTTGTATTTGAAAATTTTACAACCAAAATATATGTATGGCTTGTAGGATTTAGGAGAAAAAACGACCAATGCTTTTTAACTTCTTTGGCGTCACAATTAAATGTATATTAATATTTCAAATAATAAAAGAGGAAAGTTAAGATTTTCAAGTTTATCAAAAGCAGCATGAGTTTTCACAGGTGGAGAAACCGTACACTACACACACAGTGGAGGGAAAGGCAGCACGACTCTCAGACCCGATTCTTAAAGACACATGTCCGCACCCCCTCCCCCCGCCCCCCAAGCTCTCCAGCCTTCATTCTCATTAGCTCACTTCGGTAGCTGGAGAGCAAGTGGGAGCTGACCAAAAGGATCCCTAAGTGCACGGCAGGCTCAGACCCCATCGCCTGCGTATAGCTCTGGAGGTGGGGCCTTGAGGCAGAGGCAGAGGCTATTGCGGAGGAGGGAGATGGTCGCCCCTCCTGCAGGGCCAAGCTGGCATCTGCCACATTAAATAGAACGACATCCAATCATTCACAAAGAGCTGCAGCAAGACCACATGTCATATATGTAAGCTCTCTCTACTCCCGCCCCTGTCAGAGCCATTGGGGCAGGACGGCCTCCCTGCCTTGTGCGGACAAGACTCGCTGCACACACGGCACAGAACTGACAGGCCCTGTTCCGCACAAGAGGTCCCGTGCAAGGGAAGGAACTCCTCACAAGCCCAGGTAATCTGGAAGGTAATAGAACTCGAGGAAATAACCCCATTGATCCAATACTTCCCTAAAAGTCAATTCTTTTGATAACATTATCACGGTATTGGTTATCAAGAAGTTAAAAATTTAAACCACTTAAGATAATTTAACTGAATTAGGTTGTTCCCCTTAGACTTGGCGAAGTTTCTTTCAACATCCAATGGTCAGAGTACTCCAGGAATGAATTTCTTTCCTGTTAAGAGAACCAGTAGGTACAAGTAATTACTCAAAAAGTACGATTTTTAGTTCCAATAGTAACTACTACTGTGGGAAACAACTCAGGGAGTTAACATTTATAACTATATAATTAACATAACTGCAGCAGATTCCATCCTGTTTGGCCTGACTCGAAAGAACCCCCATGTTCCCTTAGCTACCCTGGTAATTCTAAATCCTGGTCCTAAGGAGAGGCCACGTTGTCTGCATTAGCGACAACCCTCTCCTGCCCTGAGCTTGCGCACACAACCGCTGTGTTGTTCTACACACACACGCTTGCCCACCCTGACACATCCCCAACAGCCACAAACAGAAAGCCAACGTCCCAACTCTCCGTCCGCAGGCAGGAGGGAAAGGAGAGTCACCAGGTGAGTGGAGGAGAGTGCGTTTAACGCATTTAACACTGTGGCCAAAAGAACACAGCTTGTGAAATAAGGAGAGTTGGACTGAAAGGGTGGTTTTCGACCTTGGCTGCATGCAGAACTCCCAAGGCACTGGAAGAACATACATCAACACCAAGTCCAATACCCTCCCCGCCCTGCATTAAATCAGAATTTCTGGAGTGGGGCTGGGCCACTGCTTGTGGTTTTGTTTTGTGAGTTAAACTCCATAGGTGATGCCAACTGCAGCCAGGATGTGAATCTCTAAGGGCCCCAAGTTCAGGTTTTTGACTGTACCCATCATCTTGTCAATTGCCAGCAAAGTCGAGAAGAAACCCGAGAGAACTGGAAGCTCTTTTTGTGGATTGACAGGGAACGCTAAAAAGGTGTGTTCAATTGCCGTGCTACAAAGACAAAGGGAACACCTCCGAGTCACCCTTTCCAAACGTATCCACTGCATCTGACAGAAATACATGAAAGAAAACTCCTTACATTTGTAACTACTGGAAAAGAAGTATTTGTTTTCCTCAGTATTTTTTCCCTAAAGTGTTCCTTAGTTTTCTAAACGTTCACTTTTTCACAAAGCCTTTATCTTTACTTTGCTCCTTTGTTTACATTGAAAGCTGTCTTCGCTTGCTTTTCCCAGAAATGCTGTTTTTGGGGTTATTTTTGGTTAAGTTAATTTGCCCATGTGACCTACGCGTTCAACTCAGATGCTCTCTGACTCATGCTCACAGCAGAGCTCCAGTCATCGGCCTGATGTGCACGAGAATGAAGACTTGATCAGTTCCAAATGTTGTCCTCTGCTACTGCAAGGCAGCTAGAGAAAAGGCTCTCCGACGACCACGCCGGACTCAACCTCGACGGATGTTTTCCATTAAGTTCAAAGTCCCTCTTCATGCAAGCGCCTTGCTGTATTTCTAAATGAACACTCGGTACACACGCCCAGACGAGCTAACCACTCTGCCTCTTCACAGCCAGCCTCTCCTCTGAGCTACAAGGGCCTGGCTCCTGTCGTCTCCCACGTCTCCCCTGTGCTCAACTGCTGCAGCCACCGAAGGTGGACTCAGCAGGCGGGTTCTTCCTGAAGTCCTTCGCCCTGGCTGCACGCCCTCTGCCTGATATGGACCTCTCCACTGCCGTCACAACTACACTAGAATGTCACCTTCTTAGCAAGGCTTTCTCGAAGCTCAGTGAGGCAGACACTTTTGGTCTTTGTTCACTGCTGTATCCTCCATGCTTCAAACAGTGCCTGGCACAAAACAGGCACTTAACATATAGCTGTAAAATATATGACTGTATCCATCAAACTTCAATGAAATTCAGGTTTTACCTAACAAAAAAGTACCTCTATTTCAAAGTAAAGTCTCTGTAGTCTAAATTATGTATTACACAATCATCAGAGTATTTCGCGAGGTCTAATAAAGGACTGACAAAGCTTCGGCCACGAATGAAACCTGACTCTGAAGCGTACTACCAGTCACGAGGCACACATTCTGTTCTGTGGTTCTGCCAGGAAAGTGATTCTGGTTTGCCACACACCTAGGGAGACCATAGTGGGCCATAAAGTCTTTACCACCACCTGGACTCACAGCTCGCACCCTGGCTCTAAGACAGCTAAACTTCTCCTTGTTACAAATATTTCAATAGACACTGGGCTTCAGCTTCCAAACTTTAATGTGCAGAATGTGTCCAGATCTAGTCAAAATGCAGTTTCTTACTGATAAAGTCTAGGGTGGGGCCTAAGATTCTGCATTTTTAACCAGCTCTCAGGGAGGACAATGTTGCAAGAGTATTTCAAGATTAAGGAGTTCATCATAATCAAAACATTCATAACCTCTTTTTTTAAATTTTTTGATTTAGAGAGATAAAGGGGAAGAAAAGGAGAGAAGAAAGGAGGGAAGGGAGAGGGAGAGAGAGAAGGAAACATCAATTTGTTGTCCCGCTTACTTATGCATTCATTCATTGGCTGATTCTTGCACATGCCCTGACCAGCATCGACCCCACAACCTTGGTGCACTGGGACAACCAAATCAACTACCCAGCCAGGGCTTCACAACTTCTTTTTAGGCAGGATGTAAAAAGAAATCTAGTGCTGTGTAGAGAATTAGATCAGATGAACACAAAAGGCCCCTTCCAAAGGCGAGGTACGAAGATGACAACCATGTAAACCGTCCCCCTAAAGAAGAGACACGTTTTGGACAGCATGACTCCTGCTAATCCTCTCCCTCAGATATTTACACTTTTCTTTAAGGGTTTTCCTCAGTCCATGAATCTGACGAGAGAGACCTAACGCTGCATAGTCTACTTTAAAGCTTTGTGTTTAAAACTCACTTTAGTATTCATGGACCAGAACTACAATTTTTAGAAGAGAGTTTCAAAGAAAATCTATTTAATTAAAGATCAGTCAAAGTCATCCAAATGGGGCATGCTAATGCGCAGCTGGACTGAAGATGAACTCCAAACCCCAGATAAGCTGACTGGCACCCCTGGTCTCCAAAAGTCTTACTTCATGCCACCAGCAGGCTCTGAAATGGCTCTGAAAATGACACTAAACACCAGAGCAGGGGTTATTTACTTTCTTTGTGAACAAACAACTGGTAGCTGTTTGATGAAGTCTACTGATCCCTCCCAGAAATATGTATTAAATGCATAAAATACACAGGATTGCAAATGAAGCCAATTATACTAAAAATAGGATCTTTAAAGACGAAATTCTTTAACACACTTAGCAAGCACGTGTCACGTAATCTGAAGTTATGATGAGCACAAAAGATACCGTAAGATGCCTCAC